AAAAAAAAAAAAAAAAAAAAGAAAGTACACATACTTGCCACACCTATCCTATAACTTGTGGCAACCCTAAACCCCTTGAAGTGCTAGACTTTATTTATTTATTTATGAGACAGGGTCTCACTCTATCACCCAGGCTAGAGTGCAGTGGTGCTATCATAGCTCACTGCAGCCTCCAATTCCTGGCTCAAGCAATCCTCCTGCCTCAGCCTCCCAAGTAGCTGGGACTACAGGCAAGTGCCACCACACCCAGCCAATAAAAAAAATTTGTAGAGATGGGGTCTCACTTTGTTTTCTAGACTGCTTTCAAACTACTGGCCTCAAGTGATCCTCCTGCCTTGGTCTCCCAAAGTGCTGGGATTTACAGGCGTGAGCCACTGCACCCTGCCCAGTTCTAGACTTTGAGAGATTGTAATAATATTTTACACTACAGTGATTCCTAGGAATTCTTCCCTTTTATTGCTTCCAATAGAACTATGTGAAACAAAATCCACCTCTACTTCCAAGGTGCTGGGCTAGCCATCTCTCAAAGTCTTTCCAAACTTCTTTTTGACTTAGACACTCTCTAGAATCTTGAGAAAGTTTTTTCCATGAAAAGAAATCTTTCAGGAATTAAAACTTCCTTGACAATTACTGAGTTGATACAAATTTTACGTATATATGCTTATCAACAAAAACTACCTTCATTTTGTACAACAACAATTTATGTTTCAAGTCATTAAAATATATTTAATCCTACTATGACAAAATGTTCTGCAACAGAAAAAGGTATTCTTGGCCATAGTGGCTCACTAATCCCAGTACTTTGGGAGGCTGGACAGGTCTCAAACTCTTGGGTTCAAGCAATTCTCCCACCTTAGCCTCCCAAAGTACAGCCTCGTGTCTCTACTAAAAATAAAATCTAGTTGGGTGTGGTGGCATGCACCTGTGGTGCCAGTTACTCAGGAGGAGGACCACTTGAGCTTGGGAGGTCAAAGCTGCAGTGAGCCATGATTGTGCCACTGCATTCCAGCCTGGGCAACAGAGCGAGACCCTGTCTGTCTCAAGAAAAATATTTTTTTAAAAATAATAAAACGGCCGGGCGCGGTGGCTCACGCCTGTAATCCCAGCACTTTGGGAGGCTGAGGCGGGTGGATCACGAGGTCAAGAGATCGAGACCATCCTGGTCAACA